AGTGGGTGAGGAGGGGAGGGAGGAGGGGAGGCAGGGTCCAGGGAGGCGCGGGAGGGAGAGAGGAAGGTGGGGAGGAAGGGAGGGGATGGATGGGAGGAAGGAGCGAGGAAGGGACGAGGGAGAGAGGAGGGGAGGGAAGGACGAGGGACGACTAAGAGGGAAGGGAGGAGGAGAGGAGGGAGAAAGAAGGAAGGATGAGGGGAGCGGGGAGGAGCGAGACGGACGGATGGGAGAGAAGGGAGGGAGAAAAGTGGATGTGGAGGAGGGTCGTGGAACGAGGGAAGAGGAGCAGTGATGGAAGGGATGGGAGGGGGGGGGTGGAAGACGAGACAAAGAAAGGAACGGAACCAGTGGTGCCTGCCACGCAAGCGGTATGATGCGCTGCGCTGCGCGCTGAAAACTGCAAAGACTGCGCTGCACGTCGAAACCAGATGCCTGCTGCGCCAAGTGCTGCCCCTAGCAGAGATCGGCGCCCAGCCTTATCCCAGCGAACAACTTGTCGCTGCCGGGCATCTGCAGATAGTACCTGGCAGGGGTTGGGCAGGGACCGACCGTCCCAGCATTCCTATAGTCCTACCACGACATGTCCTTAGAACCTAAAAATGTTCTGATAACAAAAACAATGTTCTTAGAACATAAACCCGGTGCGCTAGAACAAAACAATCCCAGCCAGAAATGTTCTAAGAATATTGCGTGGGAACCACAACAAGTGCTTAGAACATTATTTGGTGGGGCCATGGGCGAGCCAAGACGCTTCGCCACTGCTTGAGACGTGGGTATGCTGCATGGTCAGGAGACCGCCTAGGCTGAGGAGGAACGTCCGGGGGTGGCACCGGCTCAGGAGGGGAGACGTCGACCTGGAACCTGCGGCACGTCGACAGGGTGGGCTGATTACGCGGCCCCGCATCGGCGATGCATAAGCCTTCAGCCTCGGCCTCAGCCTCAGCCTGCCTCAGCCTCAGCCTCAGCCTCAGCCTCAGCCTGCCTCAGCATCAGCCTGCCTCAGTCTCAGCCTCAGCCTGCCTCAGCCTCAGCCTCAGCCTGCTTCAGCCTCAGCCTCAGTCTGCCTCAGCCTGCCGCAGCCTCAGCTGCATCAGCCTCAGCCTCAGCCTCAGCCATCAGCCTGCCTCGGCCTCAGCCTCAGCCTGCTTCAGCCTCAGTCTGCCTTCAGCCTCGGCCTCCGCCTCAGCCTGCCTCAGCCTCAGCCTGCATCAGCTCAGCCTCAGCCTCAGCCTTCCTCAGCATCAGCCTGCCTCAGCCTCAGCCTCAGCCTGCCTCTGCCTCAGCCTCAGCCTGCTTCAGCCTCAGCCTCAGTCTGCCTTCAGCCTCGGCCTCAGCCTCAGCCTGCCTCAGCCTCAGCCTGCATCAGCCTCAGCCTCAGCCTCAGCCTCTGCCTGCATCAGCCTCAGCCTCAGCCTCAGCCTGCCTCAGCCTCAGCCTCAGCCTGCCTCAGCCTCAGCCTCAGCCTGCCTCAGCTCAGCCTCAGCCTCAGCCTGCCTCAGCCTCAGCCTCAGCCTCAGCCTCAGCCTCAGCCTCAGCCTCAGCCTCAGCCTCAGCCTCAGCCTGCCTCAGCCTCAGCCTCAGCCTCAGCCTGCCTCAGCCTCAGCCTCAGCCTGCTTCAGCCTCAGCCTCAGTCTGCCTTCAGCCTCGGCCTCAGCCTCAGCCTGCCTCAGCCTCAGCCTGCATCAGCCTCAGCCTCAGCCTCAGCCTGCCTCAGCATCAGCCTGCCTCAGCCTCAGCCTCAGCCTGCCTCAGCCTCAGCCTCAGCCTGCTTCAGCCTCAGCCTCAGTCTGCCTTCAGCCTCGGCCTCAGCCTCAGCCTGCCTCAGCCTCAGCCTGCCTCAGCCTCAGCATCAGCCTGCCTCAGCATTCAAAATGTGGCCAGGGAATGGAGTTCTGGGAACTCGAAGAACACGAAGTGGCCTACAGTTGGCTCCGGGCATTCAAAATCATGCCCAGGAATGGAGTTCTGGGAACTCGAAAACCACGAAGTGGCCTACAGATGGCTCCGGGCATTCAAAATGTGGCCCGGGAATGGAGTTCTGGGAACTCGAAGAACACGAAGTGGCCGACAGTTGGCTCTGGGCATTCAAAATGAGGCCCGGGAATGGAGTTCTGGGAACTCGAAGAGCACGAAGTGGCCTACAGTTGGCTCTGGGCATTCAGAATGTGGCCCGGGAATGGAGTTCTGGGACCTCGAAGACCATGAAGTGTGTAATTGTTGGCTAAAAAAAAACCCCGGCATCCTCCCCGGGATCCCGCCCAGACCCCCCTGGGACGTCATGATGCTCTCTTTTGACCCTACTAGAAACCTGTCAGTCTTCGCTGTTAGCTAAAAAACAAAAACGGGCCAGTGGATTCAGGGAGTCCGTTTTTATATATTGTTTCCTGGAGCCTTCCCCCAGGGCGGCTAGACCCTCCCGTCCCACACACAAAGGGAATAGATTTGAACCCCCCCACAAAGGAAACCGATGTGTAACCCTCCACAAAGGGAATCGGTTTGCAATTCCGCCACAAAGGGAATCAATGTGTAGCCCCCCACAGAGGAAATCAATGTGTAATCCCCACAAGCGGAATCAACTTGTACCCCCTCGCACAAAATAATATCAATCTGAGCGTCCTCCACAGGAGGGGAAGAGAGAGAGAGAGAGAGAGAAAGAGAGAGAGGGAGAGAGATAGAAAGAGAGAGAGAGAGAAAGAGGAACTTGAAACACTCAAAAACGCGAGGTGCCGTTATGCCCCCCTACCCCCTCCCAACTCCGCCTCCTCCACCTCCCCCTTCCCACTCCTGGGCCGAAACGCATTCCGAAATCTGCGGGAGCACGTGACAATCGATGAAACTACAAAGGAAATTACCCACGTACGTCTACGAGTTCGGAGACTCTAACCCCCTCCCCCTCCTCCTCCTCCTCCTCCACCTCCTCCTCCTGCATATCCACCACCTCCTCCACATCATCCCCATCCTTCGTCATATCCTTCTGATCACACCTAATCATCGTCGCCATCAGCATCCCTCACATCCTCCCCATCCTTCCTCCTCACCCTGGCGGGACGGACGGCCTCTTTGAGACATCATCACACATATGTCCTCGAAGCTTGTAGTTCCCCAACCAGCTACACGGGTGGCGACAAGGTAGCTTTCACAGTGCGGCTCTCGCCTTGGCGTCGATCGCACGCGTCTGACACACTCAGAGCGGTTATATAGGCATAGAAGATGTGGTTTCCAACATGTGACGCTCGCCTTAGCGCAGCCCGCACTCGTCTGAAATACACGAGTACATGGATGGAGGTGATACGCTGTAGCAGTGGAGCTCCCACCTTAGCACTGCGCACACTCAGCGCAGGACAAGCCGGCAACTATACGGATGACGGACTAGGCACCTTTTCAAAATGGCACTCCCGCTCGAACCTTCCTCAAACTGCATGACCCGGCGGCTAGTTTCACAAATGCATGTAGTGGTATAGTCAGGGGCTGCCTGACCTCTGAGCCCTAGGAGGCACATCGGACCCCCTAGGGAAATGGTACATTACTCAGGGCGGACGCTATTGTCGCCCTCACAGCGCACTGATTACCTGGAGCGCGAAACTACACAGGGCAGGCCAGGTGGGACGTATTGTCCCCTACCGGCACAATGATGCTACATAGGAAGTGTAGTTCACAAGAGTAAACTTGTGCAACCATTTGCTCCTTTTGTGAACTGTTCACAAGGCCTGTTGGAGCCGCCGTGGCACATGCTTCACAAGAGTGCACCTTGTGAAATGTTGCCTAGCCACGCCGCAGAGAGAAAGGAGACAAAGATGGTCCCCGCCTCAAGACAAAATGTCAACGAGGACTATACAAAGGGTCAGCTGCAAAGACGAAAAAGGTGATCCCTTACTGCACAAGGAAGTTCGAAAGGCATGCAAGTCAGTAGACGAGCGTGTTGACGTCGATTTGCGCATCACGAATTCGTTGCCGATGACGCCGCCGGAGAACATAACACTACAGAGCAGACCTGAGCAGCGCAAGCCTGGGACACCATCCACAGACCAGGGTTTCTCAGTGGGTCTCTCACCCCCGCACTGAGATGGTCTACGCCCTCAGTGGGTCTCTCACCCCCGCACTGAGACGTCCGCCAGGCCTCGAAACCTGGAGCGCCGAAACGCCGAGTCCATCCAGACAGACGTGAACCTTGGCCCTGGTGCCAACGAGTGCACTGCAACATCCACACAATAGCGTCAAGCTCACCAGAAGCAAACACCAGCGGTCCCAGCGCGGTGGCTGGGTCGATACCGACCGTGAATCAGCATCTCGCATCTCCCTCGTGTCCCCCAGTCAAGAGGGTCTGTAGACGCGACCGTAATGCCTGCGTGACCTCTCACATCTGCAGACATAGCCGATCGCCCCGGCCGCATGAGGTACACGGCGTAGGGGGATAAGGCGCTCTCACCGCCCGCCCCCCGTTTCACAAATGCATGGCGGCTCCTCGTTTAACCCTGACTTGCAGAAACGACCGACATCGATGCAATCAATTTGAAACCGTGTGCATTGCGGTTGCACGCACGTCCAACACATCCTTTTCAGACCAAGGCAGTCGCTGAATACTGATGAGCCTGTTTTCCACTACCACCACCATAAGTTGGAGGAGGAGGGGGTCCTCCTCCTCCTCCTCCTCCTCTTCCTCCTCGTCCTCCTCCTCTTCGTCCTCCACCTCCTTCCCCGCTCCAACTTATGGTGGTCGTGGTGGAAAACAGGCCGGTGAAATACTGCCCAGAACGCTGTGGCCCTGCCTCCGCGCACGTCTTGTGACTGGACGGATGGGAGGCGGGTAGGGACCCGTTGCGACACGGCGTTTCGCCCGAATGGCAGGCCAGCGGGGCGATCGTCCGTCAAGGGAGTCGCTTCGCGCAGTGGGAAGGGATGCCTGTAGGAACTTACGATGAGGGAACTTAGGACGGGTGTGTGCGTGTGTTACAACATCGTTGGTGCTTGTTGGGTCTACTCTGGCCCTCCTCCTCCTCCTCCTGCTCCTCCTACTCCTTATCGTCCTCGTCATCCTGCCTCTCATTGTTCTACCTGCATGTCCTCCCACACCTTCTCCTCCTCCACCTCAAATTCCCGTTTCTCCTTATCTTCTCAAAATTGAAAATCCTCCTCCTTCTCCTCCTCCTTCTCCTCCTTCCCCACCCGCTTCCCCACTCTCCTCCTCCCGCTCAAATTCCTTCTCCTCCTCCTCATCACCATCATCATCGTCAACAGAGTCATCATCATCATCATGTCACATCATCATCACCATCATCAGCATCATCATCATCACCATCATCACCATCACCATCATCATCATCACCGTCATCATCGTCAACAGAGTCATCATTATCGTCATCATCGTCATCATCACCATCATCATCATCACCATGAGCATCACCATCATCATCACCATCACCATCACCATCACCATCACCATCACCATCATCATCATCATCATCATCATCATCATCATCATCATCATCATCATCATCATCATCATCATCATCATTATCATCATCATCATCATCATCATCATCCATCCACTGGACCCTCCCTCCTCCGCCCGCCACCTCCCTCCTCGCTCCACCCACCTCCCTCCTCGCTCCTCCCACCTCCCACCTCCTCGCTCCTCCCACCTCCCACCTCCCTCCTCCTCCCCCCTCCCTCCTCGCTCCTCCCTCCTCCTCCCAATCCCGCCCCCGAAACTGTGCGACGGGGCGCTCTGGAACGAGGCGGCCGCCGTAGTTGACGCCCTTCACCTGCGAGCGCACCCAGGGGGCGCGGGGCGAGGGCCCTGCTTGCCCCCCCCCCTTCCTCCGGGGAGGACGCGGAGGGAGGAGAGGAGGAAGGAGGAGAAGGACGAGGAGGAGGAGCAGAGATGGAGAGGCGAGGAGGAGGAGAAGGACGAGGAGGAGGAGGAGAGGAGGAGGAGGAGGAGGAGGAGGAGGAGGAGGAGGGAGGAGGAGGAGGAGAAGGACGAGGAGGGAGGAGAGAAGGACGAGGAGGAGGAGGAGGAGGAGGAGGAGGAGGAGGAGGACGAGGAGGACGAGGAGGGAGGAGGAGAAGGACGAGGAGGAGGAGGAGGAGGAGGACGAGGAGGACGAGGAGGAGGAGTAAGAAGGAAAGGAGAGAGAGGAGGGAGGAGGCAGGGTGGAGAGGAGGGAGGGGCAGCAGCAGGGGGAGGGGAGGGCGGAGGAGCACGGTGTCATTAGGTCGGGCGTGTCCCCCTACAGGGGGGATTTCCGACGAAAAATAAAACATGCCCCAAGAAAAATACACCACAAAGGCCAACAAAAACACTCAAAACATAGTCCCCAGACTATTTTTGGACTCGTTTTGGACTATTGTTTGGGGTATGTTTTATTTTTCGTCGAAAATCCCTCTGTATGGGGGACACGCCCGACTTAACGGTATCACCTGATGGCGCAGCCACATCCCGACATGTTTCGATGATTTTTGGGTATGCTTTATGTTTCGTCGAAAATCCCCCCTGTAGGGGGACACGCCGGACTTAACGGACATCCCGACACTCCGCAAGAGCTCAAACGACTTCAAAGGGCCACGGCACCGTCACGCCGGCTGCGAGGCGCGGACCACCTGCGCTCCACCGCGCGGGGCGCCGAGTGCCTCGTCGGAGGCCGTGCTGGGAAAGCCGAATGAGGCCAGCCCCTGCGACAGGTCCACTCCATTTCTCCTTTGGACACCCGAGATGGGTACCGAAAGAACGGGCACAATGCCCAACAACAAATGTTGTCCCAAACCAACAGCGGCCGCTGCTGGGCAGGCGGCCTTCTGTCTCGAATGGACACAGGCCGCGGCGGCGTGGGCACCGAGTCCTGATCAAAATGAACAAGAACTCCTGTTGGGCATTGTACCCATTCTTTCCGTGCCCATCTCGGGCGTCCAGATCTCCTCCTCCCTCCTTCCCCATTTTGCGTTAACCAAATTCTGAGCGACGGGGCTCGTAGCGTCTGCTGCCCCTCCGCTCCCTCCTCCCTCGTCCCCGTCTCCTTCTGGAGAGCTCCTCCCTGTCGCACCCCTTGACGCGTCGGCCGGGCGGGCTGGGCGTTTCGATGGAGACTTCCTCACCCTTTACTGTTCTGAGTTTTGACATGTCCAACAGCTTCAGGGATGGAGGGCGGGTCGCATTCAAACTGTGGCTCTCGCCTCAGCGACTTGAAAGCAGCTTTACATATGGAAGGCGGGCCGCTTTCAAAATGTGGCCCTCGCCGTAGCGCCGCGCCCATTCGTCTTCCGAGTGTACAGCCGCTTCACAGATGAAGGGCGGACCGTCTTCAAAATGTTGTTCTTGCCTTAGCGCCGGGTACATTCGTGTTACAAGGTCGCATTAGCTTCGCAGATGAAGGGCGGCCCGTTTTTTATGTTGCTCTCGCTTTAGCGCAGCGCGCCTTAGTCATACAAGTTCGCAACAGTTTCACAAAATGACGGCTGTTCCTTTTCAACGTGTGGTTGTCGTATCGGCGCCACGCTCGTTCGTCTTGACAGTGTGCAGCGGTTTCGAGGTCTCGCTTGGCTGAAGTCCCAGAAGTGGTGTCCTGGCAGGGTTTAGGATTGTCAGGACGCAACACAAATGTGGACTCGCTGTTGGGATCCCGAGAAGGGTCCACTGACGCGACTTAGGACTATCACAACACTTACCAGCCTGGAACAGATCCCTATCCCTATGCTGGGCACCTCCTCATCACGATGCCAATCTTAGGCATTCCCTTATTTTTTGAGGGCGAATCCCTAAGATTGTCATCGCCTTTTGGCGTGTCAATCTTAGGGATAGGGATACGTTCGAGGCTGGTAAAACACGATGATTCGCGGCGCTGACGTCCCAGGAGTGGCAGCTTGGCACGAGAAAGGAGCATCAGACGGCTGTCTTTCAGTGGAGCATTTCCTACGGTGGAACTGAATTCGTGTAGGGACCTGTGAAGAGGGAACGTGGAGGGAGGGTTTACTGTAACATCGTTGGCTCGTCTTCGGTTCGTACTGATCCTCCTCCACCTCCTCTTCACCTCTCCTCTTCCCTCCTTTCCACCCTAGCCTCTCAGCAGAGAAGTGCCAAGACCCTTCTGGCGGTGCAACCACTGCTCGAGAGTCTGTCGGGGTATGGTAATATGAAAATCCAGCTTGTGCGGGGAAGCATCAGCTCGAGGTGGACACACTTCAGGAGCTCAAGCATAAGTGCATCGGCTTGCCTTGTTCCGACGGAAGTATAGGTTGTGCGTATCCGTTGCAACGCGGTCTAGACAGGGAATTCGGTTCGGCACCTCAGCCAAAGTGCTGTGGGCCAACCAACTAACCCTCGAAGCGCGAAACACTACAGGAATCGGATCCGCGCTGGTAGGAACACCAACCTGGACTCCGTTTGGCTGGACCCTGAAGCCCACAACGTGGTCCGAGTGCTCGGGTAAGCCATCTGCTTGCAACGAGTCTCCTGCAATGGTCTGTCTTGCCAAGTGCTGCGCGGGCATGTGCCTTGATCGTCGGCGCGCTGGAGTAGGTACATGTGCCAGTGTTGTCACCAATGCCCGAGCTCGTCGGCTGCTCGGCCACCAGAGGCCAAGACGACTGCGAAATTTCGTCTCAGAGCACCACCGCGGCTAAAACCACCTCCTTTCCCCATCATCCTACGTACTCCTCGTCCTCCTCCCTTCTCGTTCTTCTCCTCCTCCTCCTCCTCCTCCTCCTCCTCCTCCTCCTCCTCCCGCTCCTGCTCCTCCTCCTCCTCCTTCTCCTCCTCCTCCTCCTCCTCTCCCTCCTCCCTTCTCGTTCTCCTCCTCCTCCTCCTCCTCCTCCTCCTCCTCATTCCCTCTCAAACCCCCACCACTGCATGGCAGCGAACCAATCGAACCTGGGGGCACCATGGCTGGAGACAGTTACCGCCCGAGCTTGGGCACCAGAGAGGCCCAAGCCTGGCCTCAAAACCCAAGGCCCTCTCCTGAAAAGGCGGTCACCGCGAAACGTCCAAATCGACTGCCTCGTTTGAGCAGGGGCCGACCGTCCCGGCATTCCTATAGGCCTTCCACGAGATGCTCATATAACCCAGAAAGTGTTCCAAGAACGAAAGCAACGTTCTTGGAGCAAAAATCCAATGTCTTAAGACAGGACGGCCCCAGCAAGAAATGTTCGAAGAACATTTCGTGCAGACCACAAAAGGTTCTTCGAACATTTTCTGGTGGGCCTCAAGGCAAACCAGGACGCTTCGCCACTGCTCGACTCTTACGCCCAGCGGACAGCACCCCGAGACAATCCAGCGCGATAGAGCTCCTGCCCCAGTGCCCTCCGATCTGGCTCGCGCCCCCGCACAGGGTTCGGGTCGGGCGAAAGGGGGGGATAGCAAAGGGGGGGTTTACGAATCAGCTCGCGCAGCTGATTTTCCCGGCGCCTCCCGGCGCCGGGAGGCGCCCATGCATCGAGGAATGGGCCCCTCGGCGGGGCCGAAACCAACTGCATGCAGCACATTTCGTACCCCCCCCTTTCCCAGTCCCCCCCTTTCGTCCGGCCCGAAGGGTGCACAGTGCCAGTGAACCACGAGGGGCCCCCGAGGAGTCACCGACACCAGTGCCCCGAACCGCGTGAGCCCGAGCCGTCCGCACACGGAGGCCGGGCTCGCCAGGCCTGCGGGCCAGTCTCAGCCGCTGGCTTTTACCAGCCTGGTTATGACGATCCCAATCTTAGGGATTCCCTTATTTTTTGAGGGCGGATCCCTAAGATTGTCATCGCCTTTTGGCATGTCAATCTTAGGGATAGGCATACGTTCGAGGCTGGTAAACCAAGCCTGCGGGCCAGTCTCAGCCGCTGGTTTGGTCCACCCCTGCCTTGCCCCGCCGCCGCACCAGCCTGGTCCGCCCCAGCAGCACCACTCGGCTGCCCGTCGAAAAATAGCATGCAGCATCGATCTACGAGAATCACGCTCTCCCTATGGGGAGATCCTCCGCGAGGGTCCCTCCGTGGATGGCGTGCAATCGATAAGCGGGCCGGCGGCGCCATAACGCCAACTGTCGGCCGGAGAGGAAGGTTATGATCAAATTCGAGGTCGACGTGCTGGATTCACTCTGGGCCCCCATGGTCAAGCTGATTCGGGCCTCCTAGACGGGCTTCCTGCTCAGCTGCGAACTGTGAGGTCAGCCTGACCATCTGGAGGCAGCCTTCAAGAGGCTGGCTCTGCAACTTCTTCCGAGAATAACTCCTTTCCCACTCATCTACAATGCGGTGTCCTAGGAGCTGCAAGTGGAGCAAAACACGACGAGCACTGTTGTGCAACTTTCAGCCTCGGGGAACCCTCGCCGTGCCCAGGGAACAACAACAAAAACGACTCGGGATCAAAAGCCGGTCCCGAGGAGATGGTCGAGAACTCTGGGGGACCGCGGTGTGAAAAAGTCAACACGTCGGAGGTCTGGGATGTGTCGTCCTGGCCCATTGAACACCCTTCAACACGTCGCGGAGCGTGGAGCGCGGGGGGATTCGAGGCGCAACAACTCCCTCCGACTTATCCCAGGCATGCTGCCGCCAGTGCGACCGAGTACGAACAGGATCGACCGCAGAGGTCGGGTCACTGGCCGGGCTGCACGTGCCAGAGCAATCGGCACGAAGGTTTCACGCCAAGGAGAAAGTTCGCACGGTGAGCGAGGGCCAGAACTGCATAATGCTCTCCACCTCGGGCCGCCTGCGCTGGAGCCTCCACACGAAGCCCGTTCCCCAACCCATCCGTGACAGTCAGCGCCCATCCTGCCTGAGGAATCCGAGGAATCTGAGGAATCCCAGGGAGGAGGAGGAGGAGGAGGAGGAGGAGGAGAAGGAGGAGGAGGAGGAGAAGGAGGAGGAGGAGGAGGAGGAGGGGGAGGAGGAGGGGGAGGAGGAGGGAGGAGGAGGAAGCGGAGGCGGAGGGGTGGCTCGAAAGCCGAGCTGTCGATGCAAACGTGCGTGCACGCCTTCGGGGCGAGACCCGTCCGCTGGCCCGCTGAGCCTGTGCCAGCAGAGGGGCCAGCTCTGCAAGAAGGCGGTCATGTCTGGCCGGGAGGGGCCCGGCTCGGAGACAGCTCCTGGGCCTGGGAGGCGGGCAGAAGGGAGGAGGGCCAGAGGAGAGCTAGGATGCATCGAGGATGCCGCAATCCACCCTCACGCCCCAGGTCCCCTTCTCATCCCTCCTCCTCCTCCTCCTCCTCCTCCCCTCCTCCTCTCCTCTCCTCCTCCCCCTCCTCCTCCTCCTCCTCCTCCTCCTCTCCTCCTCGTCCCCCTCCTGCTCCCCCTCCTCCTCCCTCCTCCTCTCCTTCTCCTCCTCCTCCTCCTCCTCCTCCTCATCCTCCTCCTCCCCCTTCTCCTTTCACTCCAGGAGGCGCCCTCCGTCAAAGACGAGCACGCGCTGGGTCTGCCATGCATGCGGGCGCCCAACTTCGAGCAGAACCTGCCCTGCGACCCTGTGGCGAGCGACACGGGGTGCGTAAAAGGCAGGCTGATATAACCCAGACGAGATGTCCAACGAGAACCCCCTTTGGAGAAGGAGCCACCCCCTCGTCCGTGTAGCTAACCGTTCCGTGAATGTGTACGTCTGGCAGTTCAATGTGACGGGAACCCCAGCGAGAACCTGGTGTTGAGAACGAGTCGCCCTTCGCCCACGTAGCTGCTCAACATTTCTAAGCTTACCTATACGAGAACCCCTCGGGTGATAAGGAGGTTGTGGATGGGTGGGTAAACGGGCTGACGACAACTGCGATGATTGTAATGGTGTCGATGCTGGTGATGCGCTCGCGAGCTGGTGCCGATGCATGATGACGCTGCTGGTGATGATGATGAGAGACCGTTGGGGCACCATGGGGACGGGGTAAATAAATGACGCGATCAGGACACCATGAGGGCACCAAGTGGACACCATCATGACAACTTGCTTATCGATTGCACTATTGATCTCACCATCGGTCTATCAACCTATCGATCTCACGATCAATCAGCCTCACTATCCATATTACATTCGATCCCGCTATCAAACAGTCGACCTCACTATCAATCGGTCTCGCGATCCATCGATCTCACTATATATTCATCTATCGATCTCACGAGACAACATCGGGACAACATCGGGACAACTAATGAGGCACTATCGGGACACAATTCGGAACACCATCGAAACACCATCGTGACACCACAGGGGCACCATCGGGGCATCGGGACACCATCGGGACACCAACGGGACACCACCGGGACACCAACGGGACACCATCGGAACACCATCGAGACACCATCGAGACAGCATCGAGACACTATCGGGACACCATCAGGAAACCATCTGGACACCATCGGGACATCATCGGGACACCATCGGGACACCATCGGGACACCATCGAGACACCACAAAGAGACCAATCGGGACACCAATCGGGACACCAATCTAGACACCACCGGGACAACACTGGGACACCATGGGGACAGCACAGGGGAACCATTCGGACACCATTGGGACACCATTGGGACACCATCGGAACACCAATCGAGAAACCACCAGGACAACAACGGAACACCATGGGGACAGCACCAAGGAACCATCGGGACACCATCGGGACACCATTGAGACACCATCGGAACACCAATCGGGACACCAATCGAGACACCACCAGGACAACAACGGAACACCATGGGGACAGCACCAGGGAACCATCGAGAGACCATTGGGACACCATCGGGACACCACCGGGACACCATCGGGACACCACCAGGACAGCATCGGAACACTGCGGGACACCACGAGATACTATCGGGACACCATCGGGACACCATCGGGACAGCATCAGGACACCATCGGAACACCAGCGTGACACCACCAAGACACCATCGGAACACCATGGGGACACCAGGGCGGTCTTCTGGCCCGGCGGCACTCTAATCAAAGGAGGGTTCATTCCTCTCGCCCGCCCACGCAACTTCGCCTAACTCGCACGCACGGCACGAAAACGAAACCCAAACCGATTTCCGGGTGGGGGTCTCCGCTTCATTGCGATCTCACCCCCCAACCTCCGATAGATTTGTATGTTGGCAGAGTCTGAATGGAGTGCGCCATTTTGAAAAAACGCTGTCCTCCATCCCTGTGGCTGTTGGAAGCCTTGAAGACGGCTTTGCGCGGCGCTAAAGACAGCCGCATTCTGAAAGCAGCCCTCCATCCTTCAAACTCTTGGCAAAGTTTACAACAATTGTGCGAGGCATGAAGGCGAGACCAGTATTTGAAAACAAACCCGCCTCGATCCTCGAAGCTGCGGGAAAATTAAACAGAATGTTCGCGGCACCCATGCGCCAGCTGCACTTGAAAATATCCCCTCCACCTGCGTCGCTCAATGGAATCATTTGAATCGGGTACGCACGGCACTAGGCACTAGGGCGACAATGGCATTTTGAAAACCACTGGTCTTCCATCCTTGAAGCTGTGATGGGTACTTTTACGACAATGGTGAGCGGCAGGGGCGAGAGCCGAATTCTGAAAACGACTGGCCGCATCCTCGAAAACGACTAGGTGCATCTTGAAAACCACCACCTGCTATTCGAGTTCGGTCGGGAACTTCTGCTTAGCGCGTCGCCGCAGATGACCGCGTGTCGTTCCGCCCCACGGAGCTTAGAGTGCCGTCAAATCGGTCAGGGCGTTGTCTTTCCGTTTTCGATCTTCGGACAACCGAAGTGATCAGAAACTCAAAATCTGAAAAAGAACGGCGCCGCTGGGGACGGGAAACGGGGGAAAAGAACAGCAGGTGAAAACGGCGCCCGCCCAAAAACTTCTCGAGGCCCCCGTAGCGGAACAAACACAGAACACACGGCGCCTTGCTTCTCAAGTTGCCCGAATCCGTGGCCCGAATCCCCGCCACGTTCGCAGGGCAGGCGGCGGAAAACGCGGCAGAAGCGCATTGAAAACAGATGCGCGCGCGGGCAGGAGGGCGACGGAGGGCCTTCCGAGCCTGTGCCCGTCGACGACGGCAGCGCCTCTTCCGCTCCGGGCGCCTCCTCCGACAGCGACTGAGAGACGCACAAAGGCCCGAAACTTGCCAGCGCGAGATTATCGACCCCTTAAGGGAAGACGGGCACGCACCCAAAATCGGCACGCCGGAAACGAATAACATAATGACGAACATCAAAACGAAACCTGAAGACACGATGAAACGGGCGTGATACATAACCATAAACCATAAACCATAAACGGACATGTCAGAAAGGAAACAAAAACGCCCTGACCGATTTGACGGCACGGGATGCTTGGAAAAACGCGAGACATGAACGCCTGGGGTCCGGGAAGTGGATCGCGTGCCGCGCCCAAACGCGGCGGGCCAGGAGCGGCGGAGCGGCACGCTTTCCAAAAGCTCCCATCCGTGTTCTCTCAAGACAGCAGCTGCAGAAGTGGAGTCAAGCGAAACCCCCGGCACGGCCTGCGGACACGCCTGGGGGAGGAGAGGGGAGGAAAAAGAGGGGAGGAACGAGAAGGAGTGCTCCTCCTCTCTCGGGTCGGGCGAAAAGGGGGGATAGCAAAGGGGGGGTTGAGAAGCAGCCCACGGAACTGATTTTCCCCGCGCCTCCCGGCGCCGGGAGGCGCTCATGTATCGAGGAATGGGCACAGCGGCGAGGCCGAAACCAGCTGCATCCAGCAGATTTCGTGACCACCCCTTTCCCTATCCCCCCCTTTCGTTCGGCCCGACTCTCCCCCTCCTCACTCCTCCCCTTCCTTCTCCTCATCTCCCCTCCCTCCTCCTCCTCCTCCTCCTCCTCCTCCTCCTCCTCCTCCTCCTCCTCCTCCTCCTCCTCCTCCTCCCCCTCCGCCCTCATCCTCCTCCTCTGCGTCCTATTTTCTCATCCGTTCCGTCCTCCCTCCTACTCACACTCCCGCTGCTCCTTCCCCACTCCCCCTCCTCCCCACCTCACCCTCCTGCAATGTATGCTGCTGGCCTCATGCTTCGCTCTCAGCTTCGCCGTGCAATTGCCAGGGTCGCTGAAGTCACACCACACGCTGCAAACCGCCTTGCAGGCATGGGCTCCAGGAGGACACGGACTGAAGGAGAGAGGGAGCGCAGGAGGGCTTTAGAATAGACGTAAACATTGGACGTACATTAAATCATATAGTGCGTGGCTGCAATGATCATGACCAAAACAACGGGTGCTCTATCACTCGGAAAATTCGCCTGCACAGGGGGCGTGCCCCCACAACTCGCGCCGCGCTGGCGCGAGGGGCGAGGGAGAAAGGATGCCGCCCACCGCTGCGGGACGGCAGCGCGCTGGACTACCCACTGAGGCAACCTACGTACCAAGCCGCCGATGCAGATGTCGAGAACAAGACCGCCACTCTGCGACGGCCAAGAGGGGGGCGTTCAGCGTCCAGGGTGGCACAAATCATGGCCCGCGGCATGCGCGCGGCCCAAGGGCGGGGCCAGGGACGGGCTGAAAAAAACAAGACGAGGCGCCCCGAAATATAAGGAAAGATCATGCCCCACGCCATGATATCCCCCCCCTTAGTCATCACCCCCCTCTTGGCCTAGAGGCCTCCTAGATGGGGTCCGAATAGATGGGGTCGAAGGATTTCGCCGCATCGTCAATGCATCGCCGATGCATCGGCGATGCATCGGCGATGCGTCGGTGACGTCGGCAATGCATCGGCGACGCCGGCGTGGGAAACACGGTCTCCACATCGAGCCGCATCGTCGATGCATCGGCGATGCGGCGCGATCCTCCGACCCCATCTACTCCGACCCCATCTATCGGGAGCGGCCAAGAGGGGGTTGTCCAAGAGGGGGGGGTGTAAATCATGACCGGCGGCACGTGCGCGGCCCAGCGGGGGGGCCAGGGACGTAATGAAATAACAAGAGGCGCCACGAAATCTGAGGAAATATCATGGCCCACGCCATGATATCCACCCCCCCCTAGTCATCACCCCCCTCTCTTCCGTCCCCGAATCTAGGAAGCCTAGATGGCCGCCCCCGAAACACCCCGGACGGCCGGCCGCGTGGAGGGGAGGCCGGGCACGGGCCAGATCAGCGCGCAGACCGGCCGCACGCCAGCGCGACCCCCAGGCAGGGAGGTGGCCTTGCCGATCGCCGCGTGCAGCGCGACGGCCCCAGGCCTGCTTGCAGTTGGCTCCCCCGCGCCCCCCAAGCCACCCAGACATCGGGCGTCTCGAAAACATCGAGGCGAAGATGTGTCATAGTTTTCAGCCTCTCGAGGCCCCGACCAGGCCTCAGGACCGTCAAGAAACGGCTCGGGATGAAAAGCCGGTCCCGGGGGAGTGGTCGAGAGGTCGGGGGCCCGCGTCTGGACAAAAATCGGGACTCCAGGTGTCTGGGCACGCACCAAAGGACACTCTGGCGAAGGGTCACTTACGCGTAGCGCATCACAGCGTCCCCGTCATAATCCTTCAGCGCCGATTTTCGCATCAACGAATCGCTCAGCCACGACCTTCGCCGGCCCTTCACAATATGGGCTGAAGCGTGGAGGAAGGGTGGGAAGACAAGCGGAATTACAAGGCGGATGGAAAATTACACACATATAACCGCGCGCGGGCGATAAGAGTCACCGGGGGTAATAAAGTTAGTGGTTCTGGCGGGGATGCTAAAATCTTCCCCCGTTCGTGAGGGTGATGATGACGATGATGACGATGATGATGCTGATCCTGGGCGCTCGGCACAAGGCTGACTCGAAAGATCTCGAGTCTCGTGGCTACTTGCCAGCAGGCGCTCGGCACAAGGCTGACTCGAGAGATTTCGGGGTTCGTGGCTAAGCAGGCGCTCGGCACAAGGCTGGTTCGATCGAGCTCGAGGCTCGTGCCTACACTTTGCCAGCGATAGCCGCCGGTACGAATCAAGGGGTCGGCGGATGTGGCGTGAGCCTGGCGAATCTTCGAGGCCACGCGCGGGCCCTACCCGCGATTTCTGAAGAGGGGGGCGGGGTTCACTTCGCTCGGCAGCTCCCGAGCAAAGTAAAACCTACCCCCCCCCCCCCACCTCAGAAATCGCGGGGTGCAGGTGCGAATTAGCATGTGGCCCTTTTGGGCCTGCTCGGCGTTCTCGGACGGCCGCTTGAACGCGTCGCCTTGCTCCGCCGCGCTGCCCCCGCCGATCCTCGAGACCGGGTCGGCATTGCTACGCGTGCCCCCTGCCCAGGGCGCCCCCAGGATTCGCTCCAAACCTGGAGGCACCTCGGGGGAGGGGCAATTGTAGCAACCGCCGACCCTGAGGTGCGCGAAGTGCGCAGGCACCTCGGAGTGCACGCAGACGAGCACGCGCTGGGCCTTGTCGGCCCTCTCGGCCCAGCATTTCTGCTCCTCGGGCTGCTGGGCAGCGGGCGCGTCCTCGCCCTGGCCCCCATCGAGCCCAGGCGACGGCCGCCGTGGGCCCGACCGCCAGGGCGGCCTCGGGGACGCCCGCGCGCTCCTCGATCTCGCCCAGCAGCGCGCGCGCTGCGCCAAGCTCGAGGGCGTCGCCCTTGACGATCTGCTCGCAGCTCATGATCGCGCACGCGCTCCTTGGCGAGCTCGGCGCGGCGAGTCTGTCTGGTCCGGCGCCAGTCGAGCTTGTGCGGCTCGGGGAACTTGTAGTCCTGCTCGATCGTGACCTGTGGCGCTCGGGATTCGCAAGCACTCGTTGGCTCCCGCCTGCTTCCGCTTCGCGTTGCTTCCGCCTGCTTCCGCCAACTTCCCCGCTAACCTCCGCCGCTTCCGCCGTCGCCCCCGCCGCCCCCACAAACTTCCACTTGCTTCCGCCGCCCCGGGCAGAGGCAGGCGGAAGCTAACGGGCGCCTGTGACCCCCCCCAGCCTCGCTGCTCTCGATCTGAAAGATCGCCGCGGTCTCCACCTCGAGGGCGCGCAGGCGGCACTCGTCCTCGGTGCCCGGGACTCGCCGGACGTCCTGCGCTCTGCCGCGCCCGCCCTCGCGGACGCCCCCCCCGGCAACGCGCGCCACCTTGCCGGGCCAGCGGGGCCCCTCGCAAGCTTGATTGGCCTTGGCATGCTTCTTGGCGTCCTTCTCCGCTTGCTTCTTCTGCTTGAACTTCTTGGAGAAGCCCGCGCGCGCCTTCGGCGGCGGGCCCGCGGGCGTCGCCTTCGCCGCGCCTCTGCTGAGGTGCCCCAGCAAGGTCTCGCCGCCGTTCTTGGCCTTCTCGCGCTGCCACTTGCGAGCGCGCTCGCCCAGGAACTGGCTCGCGAACTTGAACGCCCACCAGTTCTTGCGAACAGCAGTCCGTTTCAGCTTGATCCTGTTCTCGAGGGCGCGCGGGAACTTGATATCCTTGATCCGCTCCTCTGGCGCATTGAGCACGTCCTTCTGCTCGTCGGCGAGCTCGAGGTCCGGCTCTCGGAGCTCCAGGAGGCAGGGGTTCTCGCCCTGCCCGCAGTCCCCCGGCAATTCGTCGTTGCGGAAGCAGTTGCCATCGAAGGCGCTCCACTCGGGCACGGGCGGCGCGCCCTCGGGCCAGCTCTGCGTGCCCTCGAGGCGCTCTTCGCCAGGCCGTTCTCGATGCCGCGGCCGGGCTCGATGGGGCAGCTCCACGGGCACATGTCCGCGACGACCTTGAGCTCGCCTTGCTTTGCCGGCCGAGCCGCGAGCATTTGGTTGGCTCGAAGCCCTCGGAGTGGCACAGCGTCCTCCTTCTTCTCGCGGAAGCGGGTGTAGGCGTGTAGGCCTCGGAGGCGCAGTAAAGGCGCTCGCAGGGCCTCCATTGCGTCGGGGACTTGCACTGCTGCTGGGGATCGCCCTTGGATTTCAGAATCCAATCTTGCTCCATGGCCTGATGCATCTCGGCCTTCACCTCTCGGATATCGGCCTTGAGCTGGCTGCGCGCGCGGGCGCCCGGCTCCGGCAAGAAGCTCGTGGCTTCGGGGGCCACGGGCGCGTAGATGACGCTCTTGAGCCGCGTTCGGAGCGCCGCTGCCTCGGTTCGCTCGCTCGAGAGGCAGTCTGCGAACGTGGGGCTCTGGCCGTGCTCCTGCTCGATGAAATCGATGGTCCAACTTGCCACCGGCTAATCCGCCCAGGCTCTCGGCTGCCCCCGCGCGTCGACGGCCTCGAAGACCCTCGCGCGGTCCGCGTCGGAGAACTCGAGCAGAGCGTTGCGCCCGCCCTTGAGCAGTGCTCCTAGGGGCTCGCCTGCTCGGAAGCGCCCCGCCCCGCCGTCGCCCCGCTCGCAGGTGGCGTCGCGCCGCCAGGTGCCCTCCTCGAGGTTCATGTCGCTGACTCGGCAGCGCCTCGCGCAGAGGACAAGGGGCGCGCTGCGCTTCATGGCGGACTTCGCCCCCCCGCGCGGGCCGAACCAGTTCTCGACCGCGGAGATGTTGATGAGAGCGATCCTGTACTTGTCCCCGGCGCTCGAGTAGGCCTGCTCCACTTGCGCCTGGCGGTCGGGGTGCTCGGTAAAGTACTTGGCCCTCTCCGCGTCGAAGGCTACCTTGTCGCGAGTGTCGTGCGTCTCGCGGCGCTTCTTGCGGAGGTTCTCGGAGCGTATCTCGGCGCCTGCGGCGTAGGGCGCGCGCCTTCCCCTCGCCCCGGAGCTCGAGCCAGAGCGCGGCGGCGTTGACGACGACCGCGCTCGCGCTGGCCCCGCGCCGGGCGAAGGTCTCGGGGCCCCCGGCGAAGAGGCCTAGATCTTCGGAGCCGCCCCATCGCCACCAGGTGCAGAAACTCGTGGTAATAATGGCAGTTGCTACTCGTTCGTTGTGATGGTAGTGGCACGAGTACTACGAGTAGAAATAGTTACTCGTAGTCGTACCTGGTAGTAGTAGTACTAGTAGTAGTAGTAGTAGTAGTAGTTGTAGTAATAGTAGTAGTCGTAGTAGTAGTAGTAGTAGTAGTAGTGGTTACTAATCGTAGTAGTAGTAGTACTAGTAGTAGTAGTTACTAGTAGTAGTAGTAATACTAGTACTAGTAGTAGTAGTAGTCGTAGTAGTAGTAGTAGTAGTAACATTAAGAGTAGTACAAGTACTACTAGTAGTAGTAGTAGTAGTAGTAGTAGTAGTAGTATCAGTAGTAGTAGTAGT